CATTTCAAATTCATTATCAGCATAACGATTGGAGAGACATTAAAAAATGAACATGAATTTATGACTATTTGGTGCGTCCTCTTGTTTTTAATGACAGCAATTGACTTCACAAGTGTAAAACCTGAGGATCCAAAATGACAACTAAAAATCTGATCTTTTTCATGTATTTTTAGACTTTGTGCCCCAATGTATTTTTTCAACTTATTACAGGACATATAAACATAAATACCAGTATTATACTAAAAGAGTAAGCACAAATTAGCAACACTAAGAAAGATTTTTTTATATCAGGCAATAATTACAGTACTGGAGCAACAAAATATATTTTAACCCATCAAATAATTACAAAATGGATCCATTCTATTTATGAGCATGTAAAAATAAAAGATTCTAGTATCGTAGATTTAATTGGGGTCGTGGAAATCCATTGCGGAGGTTTCCATGCTCAGAGGAACCATAGAGTGGAGCAGGAGAATAGGGCTGGTTCAGTTTCTGTTGAAGCGATAAAGAGCAAAGAGAAGATTTATTTGAAGAGAAGACCTTTGGTTATCCACAATAAGCTCATATCCTGAGTCTTATCAGAACACTGCCACTGAATTGCATTTGCTGTATGTTGTACCATAATATCCCCAGTGTTCTCTGACTCCATGGAGGAAAACAAATAAACTCGTAAAGATTTACTAATCTGAAACTGAAATGTTTAATATATTTTTGACCCATACCAGTTCATCATATGTGTGTGAAGGGGCATGTGGTGTGTAATCACTGTGGTGGTCTGCAGAAGGGCTGTGGTCTTCATAGGGGTTTCTGCTGGGTGAATCTCTAGCATAAGGGTTGCTAACAATCTGACCCCGAACTGCGCCATTGCTACAATCACACAAATGCACAACACAAAAACCACTGAATTAAACATGACGTGGACATGTAATACAAAACATGGAGACTAAGATTTTCAGATTTTTGATCTTGATATAAATATACATTTAGAAAATATATTTAGCCAGAGAATCTGTGGTGAAATCATATGAGCTC